TTACTCCTAGCATCATGAATCACAAACCCATCCATTTATCTCTCTTTCCATTTTCATTAATGAAGATTTGGGCAAACGGAGAAGTTAGGCAATGGATGTGATGGATGCCGTTTGACAAGAAGTGAGGTGAAAAGGTTTTGGGTTTGGACCTCTTATCAGGTTTAAGTTAAAGGATTTAACGGTTTTGGTTTTTAGGACGAGGGTATAATGGTCCATTCAAGAAAATAATGAACATAATGGAATGTTCCCCAACCATTATAACCCCCGACTAATTAGAGGGACAAATATCATCATATTAATGCAATTTGGGGAGCTAATATGAAAATATGACGATTTGAGGGACTAATATTAAAATACTGATAGTTTAAGGAACTAATATCTAAAGAGCCCCAAAAAATTTTATTCTTAAAATTGCTCCATACATGCTCAATATTTTCTGTGCAATAAATGTGGCCATAATAGAATGATATTTTAAGACAATGCCCCTTGAGTATTAGAATTTATTCTCAAATATGAGTCAGTAATCAGAATTTATTCTCTAACATTTTATATACCCAAGAATCAATAAGTAGCAAATTTGATGTTCATCCTTGAGATCCAGTGCATCACAATCTCCAAATGTCTAGAATCTTATTTATGATTTTTGTTAGCAGAATGCATGCTTGTTTTGATTGACTTTAGACAACATAATTGTTTGAATTAGGCTATACAAAATGTTAGAGAAAGTAATAAAAGTTTTACAATTTCAGACATGATGCAGAAAGAACATATATCATGTGTATATCTTTGGTCTTCTAGTTCATGTATATACCAATTTCATTTGATGCTGTTGGAGTGTCAATGTTTTAATAGGCTTAATTGCGAGTTGACCTCATGTACTATAGCTCAATTGAGGATGGACCTCCCCTCCCCCTAGTTCTGTCGTCGCATATTGGGCTGATAAATATAATATAGTGTCAGACTAGTGCATGTTACATAGTTCAATTTAATTTCTAGTATAAAGATAAGTATAAAGATATTCCATATGTGTATGTTACAGTTCATGCTTGTGGATGACACAAGGCTTCTTATATTTCAAGATGTGATAATTATCTGCATCTTTGTAAGAATTTTCATCTCTCAGACTAGTAGAAAAAGCATACCAGACATACATAACAACTCTACAAGCTTGAGCCTTGGAAGTTTAAAAAGTAAAGCCTTGAATACTATCAATTATAATCCTCTATCTTCTATTTGTGATGATTAATGCTATCATAGTTGGGTATACAATTAAACTTTGCTAAATCCTAAGTGAATAGTATCACACTTGCAAGGATGACTATTCCTTTAATCTCAAGAGGACAAGATAGACTTTTGGACATTTTTTGATATATTTTTAGTTGTTAAGTAGATGAAACATATTAAAATCTATTTGTGATGATTAATGCTATCATAGTTGGGTATACAATTAAACTTTGCTAAATCCTAAGTGAATAGTATCACACTTGCAAGGATGACTATTCCTTTAATCTCAAGAGGACAAGATAGACTTTTGGACATTTTTTGATATATTTTTAGTTGTTAAGTAGATGAAACATATTAAAAGATTCTAGGAGAAATCTCCTCATATTTGACCTCTGGTGGCTCATATTTGACCTCTGGTGTTGATAATCTGAGAATACATTCACACATATCTCAGTCTTATCCAGCATCATTCTATAGTCTGAGATAAATTCTGTTTTTTTTTTCAAATTAGGGATTTTTTTTCTTTCGAAGATGATATATGAGATTGCATCAATTCATCAAGAATATATTTGGAATAGTTTCAAATTTTGCTCTTTAAGTTTTGGTTTTTCTCATTTTAGTTTCTCATGAATTGCTTACCATTTTCAGTTTTGAGAGGAGGACCAAATGGCCTCTCTCAAGAAAAGAGTGATTGACCACTGATGGCTATAAGAAAATGAGAAAACAAGCTCATTTCTTCTCTTTAATGCGCAGAACAATAAACTTTTTTCTAGGCGGGTGATGAGTGGCTTTCTGGCATAGAGCCCCTGGACAAGCAAATGAGATACATTTTGAACTTCTATAATTTGATGTTACTAAATTAATAACTAATTAGACTAATTTGACCTTTGCTGATATTGAGTTGGGTTTGATCCTTGATTTGAGCTAATATGCAGCCCCAAAGCTAATTGCCTCAGGCTATTAGCATTAAAGCTTACTTGTTGATTGATAACATCTACAATATCCAACTATCTGCGCATAGGATTTCAAAGAGAGTACAAAAAGGGGTTCCCCCCCTCCTTAAATTGTTGATTGATGAAATATAACTGGTAGTTATCCAATTATATGACATGTTTCTTTTTATGTTGTTTATATTGTGATGTGGGCTAATTGATGTTAAATAATGCATATTTCTCTTTTTTTTTGGTCTCCTTTCTTCTTTCCAAAAGAAAGTCTCTGAGCATTTTACTATTAATCTCCCAAGAAACACTAAAAAATCTTCAAATCCACTCTATGCAAAGGATGTTCCCTTCTATAAGACCACTTGAAATTCACTTTGGAAAAAGTATTCTGAATGACAAATAACATAATGTGTGGCCTTATAGAAGGAATCCCCGATGCAGTTGCTCTCCAATGCCTCGCTCATGTTCCCCCTTCTGCTACCACACTCAGCTTCAGCTCGTCTCCCGATCATGTGAAGCAGCCCTCCACAGCCGTGAGCTCTTCGAGGCTCAATGCGAAGGTGGTGCAACTGAAGATCTCCTCTGTGTTCTAGCTTTCGATCCTGAAAAAAGATACGGCAACTGTATGACCTTCTCAGAGATCATTGGCTCACTCTTCCCATAATGCCTTCAAACATTCGCCTTCTTGCTCGATTCGGCGTGGCCTCAGTTGGAGGAAAGCTCTTTGTACATGGTGGAGAAAGTGATAGAGTTGACCCCTCACCGGGGATTTTTGTGACAACCGAGGTGTGGTCATATGATCCTATAACTAGAGAGTGGGCCCGTAGGGAAAATATGCATGTGCCTCGTGCAATGTTTGCTTGTTGGGCGATTGATGGCAGGATTATTGTAGCTGGTGGGTTTACAAGCTTTTGTGGGTCAATATCAAACGCAGAGATTTATGATCCCGAGTCAGATACTTGGTCTCCTTTACCCGATCTTTGTCAAATTCACACTTCAGCTTGTTCTGGCATTGTGATTCAAGGAAAAATGCATGTAGTGCACAAGGGTTTATCGACCGTACAAATATTAAAGTACAAATATTAAAGGACCGTGCCAGTGGTTGGTTGTAGAGGACTATGGATGGCTTCAAGGCCTTATGACAGTGATTGATGGTGATCCTTATGTTTTAAATGGTGGGTGTATATTAAAACAGCAGAAGGAGAGATTGATGATGGATAAGGTTTTGTTGCTGAGATCAGAGTTTAAGAGAAGAATTGGGTTTGGGCCTGGCACAATGAATCAGTCGATCAAGCAGTTGCGAGATGTCGATGTGCTGCATTTTTGGTCGAGGCCTGGGTGGAGGCTGGTTGCGTCGATGACTTAGTGCTGTGGGAGTATTTTAGGGTGTGCATTGCTGAAGATTTAGGGCAACTGTTGATCATGTGATTGTTGGTGTTTTTTTACTGAGACATGAAGTCAGGATGGAGAGGAGACAAGGGAGGAGAGGACTATGAAGAATAAAAAAGGGAGGATTCTAAGATATGGTTTCTTTTAGTCAATTGATGTGATTGTTGGTTGTTATTCTGTTTGTTTGGTCTGTGGTGTTCCATCTTGTTAATAACAGATAAATTGTTACTTCTTTAGAATGTGAACTTCAAAAAACAGAGGGGAGCAGAGGAAATGCTATAAAATATCTCTACAATTTTTTTTTGTTTATGCTGGTAAGAAAGAAGTTGGACGTACTTGCATTTTCTTTACGAGTTCAAGTATTGTTTAATATGTTATAATTATATTGACATTTGTATAGCTATATTCCTGGTGAGAACTGAGAATGTTATATGATTATACTGACATTTGTATAGCTATATTCCTGGAGAGAACTGACGAAGCATAGATCGCTTCATGTCCCTTGGAAAAACAAATGAACCATAATGGACTTTGAGTTATTGGAGAGTTGGACCTTAATTGTTGTCATT